GAGCTTCTATAATGTTTTCTGCGAATGCATCGTCTTCTGCATCTGATCTCCGCCTGCCTATTTCTCCATTCCAGCCACTAATTTCTTCTTTTCCTTCTACTGCATATATCCACTGCTCAATTTATTCCTCCTTATGTCCACTTTGTTAATTTATAAAAAGGTTAGGTTCTTAATGGTCTGTATCCTGAACAATTAAAACTGCCAGGTATATTGATGTCCCAATTTGAAAGGGCAGAAGTGGAATGACTAACCTGGGTGCCCCCACACCCCTTTTCTGTTTTGAAAAGGGTCTTGTTATGTAATTTAGCCTGGATTTATTAGGTAAGTGCAGTCTGGTCTCGAACTTGAGGCAATCCTATTGCCTCGGCCTCCGTGTGTTGGAATGACAGACACGTGCCACAGCATCCCTCTAAACCTGCTCACTAAATAAGAGATTGGGCTGGATATGCTGACTGTATGCTATTTCCAAAGGATTTAGGACATAATACCAGCTACTAATTTTATGTAATGTATATTATGGAAATGAAACACCATTTAGTATGCATTTATTTGGTTTTGTTGTCTTCGGGGGTGCTGGGGATGGACCCCAGGCTTATGCTAGAGTGTTTATCAAGTACTCTTACCAGAGTTACATGCCAACATTATATTTATTGTTTGCTGGATACACTTACTATGCAAGTGTTCATATTCAAATCAGACATTATGATAACAAGGTACCCTTTCACCAGAGTATCTACTCCAGTAGCTCATTCCTCTGTCTTCTTAATGCATACAATCAATGTACTAGTCAGTCTACGTGGGGATTTATATTCTCAAGAAACAACTCTCTTAATACCTAGTAGCTAAAACAGGAATTATGAATACTTAGCCTGGCATGGTGGGACACACCTATAACCCCAGCTTTCTGGAAGGTGAGACAGGAGGATTGCAAGGTTAAACCCAGCTTGGGGAGCTTAATGACTTAATAAAATTATGTGCCCAAATAAAACAAGAGTTCAGAAGTGGCTCAGTTTAAAGGACCTGGGTTCAATGCCAGGTACTACAGTGTGGCAGTGGTCTGGTAGTGGAGACCAGGTGGATAAGAGGTTGGACACACTTAGTTAACCTTTCAACTCTTTATTTTGAGACAGGATTTTTGCTAAGTTTCATGGACTGGGCTGGAACTTGTGGCCCGCCTGCCTCAGCCTCCCAGAGTGCTGGGATTATAAACCATGACATCCAACTTGTGGTGGTTTTCTGATGAAAGTTTGTAAGTTAGGCATGGTTTGAGGCAACCCATGAGAGATGCTGGGTGCATCTTAATAAGCACTTCCTCCTTCCAAGGCTGTGTCAGCTCCTGGTTACCTCACTGTAATTCCAGCCCTGTGGCCCTCCAATTCCCAGACTCATGTTTTAGTCCAGCAGGAGGGATGCAATTCCTCTGGTTCAAATATGCAATTTCCAGACTGACTCCACTCAAATCATTTGAGATGATTTCATGAATTTTTTTGTCTCCCCAGACTCTGATACAACAGCTTCAAGAAATCAACCAGTCTACCAATGACAAGTGCAGAGAGGCCTGTGGGGAAAAAGGAGCCCTTCTCCATTGCTGGTGGGAGTGTAAGTAGGTACAACTGATATGGAAAATGATTGCAGGGAGATGATTCAAAAAAATTGAAACTAGAGGTTCCATTTGACCCAGCTATTCTCCTTCTGGGTATTATCCCCAAAGAATTAAAAACATCATACCACAGCAATATATGCACACAGAGGTTTATAGCAGCACATTTTGTAATAACTAAACCTTGAAAATAGCTCAAATACCTATCAACCAATGAATGGATCTTTATGTGCTTTTTTAAAAATATAAAATGGAATACTATTCAGCCATAAAGGATAATCCTGAGACATTTCATTTTATTTATACAAATAAAATAAATCAGACATACATGTGTAAATATTGCATGGTTTTTCTGGTGTAAGAAACTAAAATTAGGGCTGAGGATTTAGCTTAGCAGCATTAAGGGTCTGCCTGAAAAGTGCAAGGTCATGACTTTGATCCCCCATACCAGAAAAGAAAGAAAGAGAGAGAGAGAGAGAGAGAGAGAGAGAGAGAAAGAAAGAAGAAAGAAAGAAAGAAAGAAAGAAAGAAAGAAAGAAAGAAAGAAAGAAAGAAAGAAAGTAAAGGGGCTGGGGGTTTAGCTCAGTGACATAAGTGCTTGCCTTGCAAGCAGGCAGTCGTGAGTTCGATCCCTGGTACCGATAAAAAGGAAAAAGACAAAAAAAAAAAAAAAGAAAGAAAGAAAGAAACTAAAAGTATAAACAAGGCCCAAAATATGTAATATGTATTGCAAAATAAAAAGAAAACACTCAAATGGGGAGGAGAACTAGGGAAGGAGAAGAAAGGGAGAAATGGAAGAAAGGAGAAGGAAAAAATGCAAACAAAGCTTTTATAAATAGGCATTTGCTTGGCAGGAAGGGAAATAAGAAAGAATCAAGATATAATATGTACAAGTAGAAATTCCCTATGACGTGCGTAACTATTATGTGCAACTATTTTTTATTCTTAGTTTTATTTATCTATTTAGTTAGTACTGGGAGTTGAACTCATGCTCTTGCACTTGCCAGGCAGGTGCTGTGCTGCTGAGCTATATTCCTGGCACAACTGTGCATACCTAAAATGTAGCAGTAACCTTAATTTTTTAAAAAAGCTATTCATTCTTTTTGGGTTTTTTTGAGACAGGGTTTCGTTATGTAGTTACATCTGGCCTTGATCTCTTGCCTCAGTCCCCTGACTGCTAGGATTACAGACATCCAGCACCAGGCCTGGTCCATTCTTTTATCATAGAAGAAAGATAAAATTTTCTTTCTTTTCATTTTTCTATACTCCTGCCTTTGTTTGCTACAATCGACGGATTATAGTCACCACAAACTGTCTGAAATACACAGCCCTGAATACGTCCCATCTAATCCTGAGTGTGCTTCTCTGTGAATTCACTCAGTGGGCTTGAAATGAACTCTTGCTCAGTGTGAGAACCTCCCCCGCATCATGATGTCCCGCTGGGGGAGGGTGCCGAGGGAGCCCGTCAGAATGGTGGGAGCCACCTCTGTGATGCACCAGGGCACAAACCCCGTGCACAGCCCGCAGAAGACGCCCAGGATACAGCGGCCTGTGATTAGCCTCACCCAGACTCCGCTGTCTTGGAGGAATCTGTGAGGCTGCCAGGACGTTCACCGTGAACAGGAGCTGTGCCTGCGGATTCCCGGGACAGGACTGAGGCCCAGCCTGCAGCAGGCTCCTCCGCTTCTTCCTCCTGCACCCTCCCGCCTGGAGCTTGCTTTTTTTGGTTCAAATTTTCTTTCCCAACTTAATTTTTTATTTTTAAAAACAAAAAAAGAATACAAATGATAATACAGAATTTCAAAACAAAATAATAGGACATTATGTATTAACTTCAAAGTAGCTCAGATTACAAGATATAGGCAGGAAGCAATGATCACACACTCAAAGATGGCACAAACTTCTTTTTGATAAGCTAACAGAGGTTAGTAGTATAGTTATCTGTCTTGTATATATATGACTGTATACATATATGAATATATACATATAACCTTTTCCCTTCTTTTTTTCCTTACCCCCGTCCCAGTAGTTAGTTTCTTTTGAGTATCTTCCCTTTCACTGTAACATTCTATTTTACATTTTGAATCTTGCTTACTGTTTCAGTTTTTTTCACTAGGGAGACAATACAATATTTACACATGCAAGTCTGATTTATTTCACTTCTGAGCGTGGTCTCAAATTGTACTCATTTACCTATAAAAGCTTCAAGTTTATCCTTTTTATAACTGAGTAGTACTCCATTGTATAAATATACCACATCTTTTTTATCCATTCTATGGTTGATGGCCATTAGATTGTTTCCAAGATTTAGATATCACAAATTGTGCTGCTATGAACATGGGTACATATATATTGTTGTGGTATGATGTTTTTACTTCTGGGCAAATATGCAAAAGTGGAATAGCTGGATTGAATGGGATCTGCATTCCTAGATTTTGAGGAATTTCCACACTGATTTCCACAGCGGTTGTACCAGTCTACACTCCTACCAACAGTGGAGAAGTGTTTCTTTTTCTCCACAGCCTCACCAACATTTGTTATCAGTTGTTTTCTTGATGATAGCTGTTCTTTCCGGAGTGAGATGAAATCTCAATTCTGCTTTAATTTGCATTTTTCAAATGATCAGTGATGGTGAACATTTCTTCATGTATTTATTTGCCATTTGTAGTTCTTCATCTGAGAAGTGAATGTTCATTTCAGATACCCAGTTTTAGATTGGGTCGTTGAATTTAGGGGGCCTGATGTTTTTCAGTTCTTTATATGTTCTAGCTGGAAGTACTTTGTCTGAGGGGCTGTTGGTTAAAATTTTTTCTCATTCTGTGGGTTTTCTTTTCACTCTGCTCTGATTTCTTTTGATGTGCAAAAACTTTTTAATAAGATGTGATCCTAGTTGTTGACTCTTTGAAGTACTTCCTGTGCAGTTTGCTTTTTATTCATGACTCCTTCGCCTACCCCTATGCTTTCAAGATTTCTACATACCTTGTCTTACAGTATATTTAGTGTTTCAATTTTAATATTTATATCTTTGATTTATTTTCACTTTATTTTAGAGCATGGTGATAGACAGGGGTCTGGATTTAGTCTTCAGTACTTGGAAAGCCAATTTTTTCAGCACTATTTATTAAAGAGAGTATCTTTCTTCCAGTGAACATGTTTGACCCATTTGTCAAAGATACGGTGGCTGAGTGTGTTTGTAGTTGGGTCTGCATCTTCTAATCTGTTGTGCTGATCCTCAGATCTTTTTTTATTTTTTGGCAGTACCATGCTAATTTTATCACAGTCTGTTTTATTTTAGCAAGTCTGTTTCCCAATTTCTACTATCAGAAAACTTCAAGCTGAAGTAACTTCAACCATAATTTTTTAGTCAAGTTTTTATACTTCCTTCCGGGAGAACATGGCGGACAGATAGCAGCAGCGACGGAGGCTCTCTGAAAGACTCGGCTTAGAATTCAGGAATGGTGCGGAATAAGGAGTCATAAGCAGGTGGAGATATGCTCTGCTGACCCAGGAACGAACTGGGCTGAGAGAAACCAACTTGGAATGCAGTCCTGGTGCTAGAACAGGAACAGAGGGGCCTCAGTATGGAGGCTGCAGCCCGCGCCATTGGAAGCCGTGATTTGGGTTTCCTGCCACACTGCGGCTGCGTCTACATCGGCTTGGCAGGGAGAGAGAGCCACGGAAGCTCTGAGAATGGGAATTGGCGAACGGAGTTGAAAACAGGACGGGCGGGGAGCTGTGCATTGACTTTCAGTGAGGTGAGTGAGAGAAACTGACACTCTTTCACAGTTTAATGAGACCCCAGCGGAAGACATTCTGGGACCGGGCAGACTTGCGGGAGCAGGGCACTGCAGCGACTTCAGCCACATATCCCCCTTTCAAGCGGGATTGGTGAGAAGTGCCTAGCCTACGTGATGCTGCTGGCTGAGACCCAGTAGGCTAGCACAACCCAGATCCCAGAGCCTGAGGGTGGCCTGGAGGGGCAGGCCCCGCGTAGGCTGCCTGGTCTACAACTTCCCGGTGTGCTGCGGTGGGTGGGAACACCTAGCCGGCACAATTCGATCAGGCTGTGGCTGACAGGGAGGGAAGCTGGGCCTCCTATATAAGCTTGCATATATAAGGAACAAAGAATATGGGAAGAGGCAGCAACAAGAAAGGCTCCTCAGCCCCCAATCCTGAGAAACAGGCAATAGTGGACACAGCACCAACAGACATAAAGCGCCATCTAGAGAGCTTCATAGATCAGTTCAGGAATGAAGTTATCAATGACCTGAAGCTAGAAGTAAACAGAATAGTTAGAGAAATGCTAAGCACCACCCAAGAAAAAACAGATGGTGGAATGGAAGAACAGAAAAAGAGGGGAGAATTGTTTAATGGAGAAAACAGAGAAAGCATAGAGTACGTGAAGCAGGTTCCTGGTCAGGTTCCTGGTCGTTCCTGGGTCAGCAGAGCATATCTCCACCTGCTTATCACTCCTTACTCCGCACCCTTCCTGACTTCTGAGCCGAGTCTTTCAGAGAGCTTCCTTAGCTGCTGTTATCTGTCCACCATGTTCTCCTGGAAGTCCAAAAAGAGTAAAATTTAAGATTCTTTTTTTTTTTCTTCTGGTGATTATGAAGATCGAACTCTGGGACTTACACATGCAAGGCAGCCATCCTGCCAGTGGACCTCTATCCCCAGCTCTTGTTTGAGATTCCTCTGTAAGACCTAGACATAGCCTAGGATTGTTTTTCAGACAGAGCCTTGGGTGGCTTTGAACTCAGCCCAGGGCTGACTCAGCTTCCTGATTGCGGGGATGAGAGTTACATATGGCTGTGTCCAACTAGCCTGGGATTTTAGCCAGCACCGCAGCCCAGTGGTCCTCACAGGGGCCCACAAGCTCACAGCAGCAAGTAATCTGCTAGAAATTAAAATTCTCCCCTCTCCTAGGTTCATCATCCAAGGTCCAGGGCCCAGGAATCTGGAGAGAAGTCAAAAGAATTAAGATGTGTTGTGTACAATTCCCACAATGAACATAATCATTATACACTGCCAACATGCACTCATAAAAATTTATCAAGAAAAAAAAACCCCTTAAAATACTTTAGTTGGTTTGATTCAAGCTCCTGTCTGAAAACCACTGCCCTGGCAGCTCTTTGAGAAAGGCTGTGACCTTCCCCAACACCCAGGAGAATTTTTAAGGTCAGACATGGTGACACAGTCCTATAATTCCAACTACTTTGAAGGCTGAAGTAGAAAGATTTAAATTTTCAGATCAGCTTGGGGAAACAGTGAACCAGTCTCAAAAATAAAAAACAAAACTAAAACAGAGACATGCTAAATCCTCAGCATTTTTTAAAATGCATTTTCATTTTAATGCACTTCAACATTGTAGTTTCTTAGAGATCATAAATATTGTACTGATTATAAAACATTTCAGATAAAAATATTTTTCCGTCACAGAATTATATGTACTCAAAAGACCATCAGCTTCATCTCTTCTTCTCTAGGCTATAGTGAGGTCATTTGCAATTAGTATTTACTAGAGATATAAAGTAATAAACTGCTGCATATGTGTGCTAAGCCCCAGAGGCAAAGCACTACATGATAATCCAGAAATAAAACCTTAGCAGTGAAGCCAGATGTGTGGCCTATGCCTGTAACCCGGGCACTCAGAGTGCAGAGGCATTGCTCTGAGTCTGAGACCAGTCTGAGCTACACTGGGAGATCTGTCTCAAAAAAATTCCCCCCAAACCCAACACAAAGGAAAAAAAGATTAGCACTGCAACCCTACAGTGAAGAAGCAGTGTCACAACTCTCCTGTGAACCTCATTTGCCTGGCCCAAGGGGATAAGTGGGGGGGGGGGGGTTGGCGAAACCTGATACATGCATGGGTCTCACTTTAGCGGTGGGAGCTTAACTGGCCCAGGGTACAACCTGGCAGTGGGACTTGAAAGCTCTCCAGTGGATCCTGGAGAACCACTGTGAAGGGAATAACTCCTCCTTCCCCATTTCTCTGCATTCCTTTCCTGCAGGCCTCTCCTCTGTTAGCTTCTTTTGCTAAGGAGCCAAAGAAAGCTACTTTAGGTTTTTTGGTTTGTTTTGAAGCAGGGTCTCACTGTATAGTGCAGATTGGTCTGCACTGCATACTCACGGCCATCTTTCTGCCTCTGCCTCCCCAGTGCTGGGATTATAGGCATGAACCACCACAACAGGCTTTGTTTTTGCTTTTTTGAACCAGTATCTCACTAGCTAAGGCTGGCCTCAGACTCACTATGTAACTCAGGCTAGCTATGAACTCACAATCTTCCTACCCAAGACTCTCAAGATAGTTACTAATAAAGGAGCCCCATTAAAATTTTAATACTTCAGTGGCTGGGAGTGGAGGTCAGTGGTACAGCACTTCCCTAGCAATTCTGAGAACTGATTTGATCACAAAACAGGCTGGGAATGTAGTTCAGTGGCACAGTGCCTGTCTGGAAAGTGTGAGGCCCTGAATTAGATTCCCAGTACCAAGAGAAAAAAGCAGATTGAAAAATTAAACATTGTAATATTAAAAACAGGCTGCTTTTCTTTCTTTCTTTTTTTTTTTTTTTTTTTTTTTGAGGTTCTCGCTAAGCACTTCAGCCTGGCTTTGAGTTCACTTTGTAGCCCAGACTGGTCTCGAACTTGTGACAATCCTCCTGCTTCAGCCTCCCAAGTGCTAGGATTACAGGTATGTGCCACCACATCGGGTTTCCAGGCTACTTTATTAATGTTAAATTTAAATACATTTGCATATGGAAAATGTCTAAGCTAAATGGTTCCTTTAGTCATTACTGAAAGTAATGACTAAGTATTGAGTGACATTATTTCTCCTGAGGGGAAAAAATTCAGCAGTTTGGCCACTGTCCAAATTTCTCACAAAGCAAAGTTTACAAAATATTTTCTTTATAAAACAGCGAAAAAACTTTCATGATTCCTCTCCCTTTTTCAAGAAAAGCAAATGAAGTCTGCATTCTAAATAAAATGTATTTCTGGGAATACCACTGCACCTGAGCTGAGCACCAAGGACTCACTGAGCCTGAGCTACACCAAGGACTGATCCTTGAGGGCTGAGGAGGAGTCAAGCTCAATGATGGACTCCACTCAAGGGCAGTCCCACCCAGGGCCAGCTGGACCAGGTCTCCACTGCTTATTCAGATGCGTCCACTTCGCTGACCTAAGTTTCTATGTTTGTTCTCAGTGTCACTAGTATAGTCCACTTCTGATCCATACCTGCCAAAGCGGCTGACAAAGAGCACAAAGGAAAAGGAGCTGAGCATTGCACCCAAGGAGAGCATGACCCCGGAGAGCAACCAAATGCCTGTGAGCTGCACCTTGCTGGGAGGATCTTCTACATTCTGCGGCAAGGTGCTGTTGGTAAACTCTCATGATCTGCAAAATAAAATCTTTGGTGACAGGACAGACAGTTACAGCTGGACAAGAACCAGATACCAGGGATCATTTTCTCCTGTCATGCAAAGATGGGGATGGAAGAGATCAGGACAAACTACGAGAGCACAGGGAGAGCAGTTTGGAAGATTTGTCCTAGAAAGCCCAGCAGGTGGCAGCACTGTGCGCCTGGTCGGCCCAGCTCTCTGCTCACTTTTCTGGACACAGTGGGAAGTCCAGCCACTCTGGGAGAGGAGCCTGCACAGCTCAGTGTGAGCAGAAATGAGTTTTTTGTTTTCATTAAGTGACTAAACATGTTTACCATCTTATGCCTCAGAGCAGCCGGCAAGATACAAAGTGTTAAATTCTGATACATGTTTTTTCATTTTTGAGACAGTTTCATCCTGCACTTCAAGCCAGTCTTGAATCACTTTGCAGTACAGGCTGGTCTCTTACACAATGATCCTCCTTCCTCAGCCTCCTGAGTGCTGGGATTACATGGGTGCACCACCATGCCTGGCCTTAAATTCTGATTTTTCCCTGATACCATCTTGGGAGCATTATTACCCCAGTGTTGTAGACAACCTGGAAAGAGCTGATCGCAGTGACCTTGACAGCAAAGACCAGAGACAGGAGCACCTGAGTGCAGAATGACAGGGGAAGGAAAGAAGCAGTCCTTAAAACTTTTACTTTTTTATTTTTTTGGTATTGAGGACTGAGCTCAGGGCCTTTGCACTGAGTCCCATCCCTAGCATTTTTTAACTTTTTGAGGCAGGACTTTGTTAAATTGTTAAATTGGCCCACTGGGATCTTTCTGCCTCTGTTTCTCAGAGTGCTGGGATTACAGGAGTGTAACCCCCCCGCTAGTCCTTGAAATTTTCACTGATGATTGTCTCCTGTTACTTATGGAAACATACTGTATTAGAATTTGACCCATAAGAGGTATGAAGAGGCAAAAACGTGATATTTTTAAAAATTTGGTGGAAGTTAAAATAGAACTGTTTTAGAAATATTAAAAAAAAAAAAAAAACCTCTACAGTACCAGGTAAAGGCAAGTGTTGTGCTCAAGAACTAGGAAGGCTGAGGAAAAGATAGCCTTCAGGTCCCTTGAACTTATTCCTTTTTTTTTTAATTTTAAAGAATAAGAGAGAACAAAGCCAATCGAGACAATGTAGTGAAACTGGTACAGAACTTCAGAGCAGGATACCGGGATAACAGTAATAGGTACCATGGAATATATCGTTATCTTCACAACAGTTGTCCAGTAGTTAGGTATAGCAAAGTCAAACCAAAAACAGAACATTATAAAACCAATCGAAAGAGAATATTGAATAGAGCAAAACCATTAATCATAATGAAACAAAACAGTGAAAACAACCTTTGCCTTCAAACAGAAGATAGAAGGAAATCCCCCATATTGCATACAGACATACTCTCAAGAGATACTCAGACCTCCTGCCCCCAGTTGCTAACGGGCAGTGGGGGAGAGGGATGGGATGTTTGATTCTTAGCCTGCACACTGGTAGGCTCATGGGAGCCGCTGACTGGTTCTCCTCCTGGCTCAGGTTGGAGCACTTACCAAGAGGGCAGCGCCTTTGAACTTATTCTTTTCAAACAGGTGAGGATGCTGAAGTTCTGAACCCCTCGGTCATAAAATTGTGGAGGTCACAGAACTGTGGAAGTCCCCCTTGGAGGCAAGTGTAGGGTGGAGCTGTGGGCCAGTTAGCAGGCTCCACCCTTTGTGGATATTATAAAACCTGCCTTTCTCAGACCGTGATGCTGGGGAGGAACAAGCAGGTGTGGAGACCCTGAGAGGACATTTTTGCCTGCCCGAAGAGGACATTTTGCAGGTTTTGTTGACTGAAAGAGGTGGTTCACACATCACACCTCTAGCTCTTGTCTAAAACGTGCAAAGAACTAGGACCATGGGGACATACAGATAAGATTGATGTGGTCACTGGTCATTGGTGGTCCTTGGGGGACAATCAAAAGGAAACCTTTAATGCTGTGTGCTCCAGGGTCCCCAGGCAGCCTTTCTCCAGCCTGTGAGGCTGCTGTCAGTCTCACAGTATCTGACAGGACCGGAATCGCCTGAGTTTACTTAACTTTCTTTTTGAAGGAAAGAGTCTGCTCCTCTGGATTATTTTGTGTAACAGCAGGGTGCTCAGGCTGCTATTCAGGGCTCAGAGGGCAGCAGGGGGCTGCCCCCTCAGAGGGCACCCCCACTCTAGATTTCAAAGACCAGGCTTGGCTTGGGAAGGCAGGTGAGAGTCCAATCCTCTGTCCCACAGGAATGATAACCCTGACCTGTGCAAGTCCCCGGATCCTGAAGAAAGCCAATACACAACTTGTCCTTGTGATTGTGATTGTGAGTGCAGGACACACTTATTAGTACTGTGCATTGTTTGTTGTGTGTGCAGTATTTGTAGGGGAAAGGCATTTTCACTAAGATAAAGTCATTTGAAAATAAAGAAAATTAGGAGAAGGGATGAAGAAAAATGGGACAGAAGAGGAAAGGCCCTCAGAGATGGTAAGTGATGAGAGAAGAGGTACGTGGTTTGGGTTTTTTTCTGTTTCCAGGGGTTTTGAGGAAGGGTCTCAGTATGTAGCCCAGGCTGGCCTTGACTCGCAGTGACCCTCCTGCCTCAGGCTCTTGAGTGCTAGTGGTTATAGGTGTGCACTACCATGCCCAGAAGAAGCGGTTTTTTAATAAAGGAAAAAGACCTTGTTGCAAACAAGGAAGGTCTGGGGAGCTGTGTGAACCTTGGAAGATGCCCTCTAGGGCCACCTCTGTGAACAGCCACTGGAGGATGACTCCTAGCAAGGTGAGAGCGGCTGCTTGATCCCTAATGTAGTGTCTCCTCCTGTGCTGCAAGTGGATGAGGCTCTCCCTTGCTGAGGCTTGGGGGGAGTAAAGGAAGCTGTCAGGGGGGCCAGGCCCAGCTGTGGGTGCGGCAGTTTCTACCTACAGGGAGAAGAGTGGCCTGCCCGCGAAGCCAGCACCAGTGCTCCGGCTTCTGTAGCATCTGTGGTGCAGGCGATCTTGTTGGGTTACACTGGATCCAGCTAGGTTTTTTATAGCTCATCTATACCCTTCACCCTTGTGAATGTAGTGACCAAAGTAGTGACCTACTGCCTCTTAGTTTCACAGACAAAATTCTACCAGAAAAACTTGCGGGGAGGGCAGATAAATTACTTTTTTCTCTGATATCTTCCTGGGTGTCAGTTAATCTATAATCACTTGGTAGCCGATGTGGCAGCATAAATTGGTAATTCCAGAATGTGGGAGGCTGAGGCAGAAAGACAGTTGAAAGTTCCAGACCAGCCTGGGCTACAAAGAGAGCTCAAGACCAGCCTCACTACATAGCAAAACCCTGTCAAAAAAAAAAAAAAAAAAAAAAAAGGAATAATACAATCACTTGGGAATGAATCTATTAATATAAAACAAAGTTGAATGATGGTGATTATCAGATTTTGAAGTCATTTGTAGGAGTATAACCAGAAAGAATTGGCAGTCAACTATTTTCTGATTATAGGATGAGGATACCATCTTGAATGGTAGGGAAGGACTGTTTGGTAGAAGAAACTTTTGGGCAGTTTATAACCCTGCATAATCTTACTTGGAGTGAAGGAAATTCAAATCTCTATGCTCCTGGCCTTCTCTGCAGAGGATGCCTATTGGTGCGTAATCCCTAGTTCTTCAATGGCGCCTTCACCCTGAGCGGCCATTTGAACCTGGGCACTAAGCCTCAGTCTCAGCTCCCAGCATCGGGGGATGCAGTGGGCATCTCGGTCCACTACCCTGAGCACATATCCCTGTGTGTCAGGTACTCTCCAAGAAGTTGAGGCTTGCCATGAATAGGATGAAAAAGTTCTGGCCCTCATAAAAGTGGGCATTGCTTTGCAAGAAAAATTATTAAAAGGGACCAGGGCAACTGAGTCTCGCAAAACTAGACAGAGTTATTAATGTCCTAATAGTTGTAGATGGTGAGTGTCTTGAAAGCAAAGTGGGAGACAAATACCTGAGCAAGATGAACAGCAAAGAGAAGAGAACAAGGAGGCAGGAGGATGAGCAAGGACAACCACAGCAAGGGGAGAAGACCTCAGGCCCGGGAGTGGGTAAACAGAGCAGCGGAATTTGGCCTGGTCAGAGAGCTTCTTAAAGGAGAGCCAACAGCAGGCTCTGCCTGCAGAAGTGGAGTCCTCAGTGGCTGAGCTGTGGGTACCCTGTGCCTTGAAGCCCCGATGCCTTCAGCCAGGAGAGCTGAGTGGAGCAGAGCTGTGAAGGAGGCAGCCCATGATGAAGGACAAGCATCTTCCTCTGGGTTTGGTTGGGGCCGAGAATCCAAACTGGTAACACTGGACCTGGGCAAGCCAGATTCTTTTTGGCTACCAGTTCTCATTCTATTGTCCAATTTGCTATGTAGGCAAGACTCATCTTCACCTCAAGATCTCCTGATTCAGCTGAGATTTCAGGCCTGTACCACTACACTCAACAGGGTAAGTCCTAAATATTTGACATCTGTAACAAGTAGAATATTTTCAACCGGGTGTGGTAGTGAAAACATGTAATACTATCGCTTGTGAGTCCGAGGCAAGAGGATTGGTGTGAGCTCAAAGACAGCCTGAAGCACTGATCAAGACCCTGTCTCAAAAACAAAACAAAACAAAACAAAATGAAACAAATATTTTCTTCTTGCTAAGGAAGGATATGAGCCAGGTATGGTGGCACATGCCCATAATCCTAGCAATGGGTCCAAGGCCAGCCTGAACTACATGGTAAGACCCTGTCTCAGAAAAAGTAAAAAGAAAGGATAAGAAAGGGTTAGATCCAAGAGTCATTTTCCTGGTTATCTTAGTCTGAGCAGATTATCATTAGGGTTAAACAGGGCATAGTGGCTCACAACTGTAATTCTAGCAGTTGGTAGGTTAAAGTAGGATTGTGAGTTGGAGGCCAGCCTGGGATACTTAGCAAGACCTTGTCTTTAAAAACTTAAAAGAAGAAATATTAAGAAGTAGTGAAAGAGGATTGTTACAAACAGCACCCTATTGTGCTGTAAGGTTTGCAGATGTGCTAAGAAAACTCCCAAACACTGGATGTAACAAGCTCCAAAGCTCTGCAGGCAGCTCAGGGCCAGCACTGGCACACAGAGTAGGTCCAAACTGCACAACCCTCACACTGGGCAATGACCAGCTCTCTGCTGGGGAGGCAGACAGGGCCTGGGCTGTTTTGGTTACTTTTATCTCATTGCTGGGACAAAATACCCAACACCCAAAATTAAGGAAGGAAAAATTTATTTAGCTTACAGTTTTTGGAGGTTTCAGTCCATAACCCGCTGGCTCCAAGGCAGGGTGGCACGGCACAGGGGCAACCCTTCAAGGCAGCAGAAGACAATGAATGGAGCAAGAGCAAAGAGGGGGAAGAACAAGCCTCTTTTCCTCCCTTATGTTCTAAGCAGGCTATGACGCTTAAGTGGGTGTAGCACTCACAGCTTCTCGGTGCTCTCCTCTTGCACAGGCTGACAATACTTTCTTTTAGTTTTTTTAAACAGTAATAGGTATCACAGTATATTTTGTTACCTTTACAATAGTTGTTCTTTGAATCACGTATATCAAAATAAAATGAAATACAGAACATTATAGAACTTATCAAAACAGAATATTGAATAGAGAAGTACCATTAATCAGAATAGAGCAAAACAGTAATAAAAATATTTGCCTTCAAAGAGATGGTAGAAGGAAGTCCCCCCTTATTTGCTATGGTCAACCTCCCAAGAGATGCTCAGATTTCTGGTTCCCATTTGCTAATAGGGGGCTAGGGAAGAGGGGTAGGTGAAGTGGGATGTTTGACTCTAGGCCATGCACCAGTAGGTTCACTATTGCCTAGCAGGGAGGCAGGCTGCTTGCTTGGTTTCCCAGCGTCCTAAGTTCCAACATGATGCAGATCTCAGGAGACACTGGTGATTCTCCCCCTGGAAGGGCTGCAATCTGCCACACCGCTACCACTTACCAGGGAAGGAGGTACTTGCTTGGTTTCCCAGAGTCCTAAGTTCCAACATGGCGCGGATCTCAGGAGACACTTGTGGTTCTCCCCCTGGAAGACCCAGGTTGACAATATTTACAAAATAAGGACTCTGGCTTCCTGCTGAATCACTTGGTTAAAATTCTGACCTTCTCAAATTGACAAATGGACAATATCCTAGAGAGGTAACGGCACTTACTTTTAGTATTTAGAGCTGCTGAGTTACTTAGTTAAGCTTTTAGACTTCTCTAGTTGACACAGTGTATCAACCATAACAGGGGTCTTGCATGGGCTCAGAAAGAGGCCTCTGCTGGGTGCAGGGGAGTGGTGGCTGCAGCTCCTGGCAGTTGCTGAAGCCTTCCGGGTGGGTTGGATGGAGGGGTCCAGATGCTGGACAAGCTCAGCAACATTAGATGTACCACAGCTACACTCGTAAACTTTATTGATCATAATAGTGACCCACACTGTGCCCACATCATCATCTTGCTCTGTAACATTTCCTTTTAGAGGTGGGCTCCTTGGCAACTCATTTGGGACTCTTCTTGTCTCTCGGTAGTGTCACTATTCCCCAGTCTTTTTCTTCATTCCTTTTCCCCAGTAACTTTTCCTACTCAGCGTCTCTTGTTCCTTACAATTCATTCTTTATGTACAGGGAACACAAACTTTGTCCACTGGACATCTAGCAGGTTGGGAGTTACATTTGTTTTCCCTATATCATTGGGAAGTCCTATACTAAGACCACTATCAATAATAGAAATATAATATGAGGCACACATATAATTTAAAATTTTTCTAGTTAGGACCCCACTCAGATCTCAGCAGCTGCCAGGTGCCTCAGCAACCCCTGCCCCCACCCAGAGGACCTCACCAGCTTTAGGAACATTGGCCACTTCTCCTCACCCAGGGGATTTCAGCAATCAGTGATAATGTCATAAACTCCTCCCCCATGCCTGGAGGAACTCAGCATCCTAAGGGAGCACTAGCATTCCCTACCCCACGTAGAGGACCTCAGAGGGCAGACAAGAGCATGTGTGACTCCCAAGTCTATCCAGAGGACCTCATTGGGTGTACAGGAGCCTCAGAGATCCTTCTCTACCCCTGGATGACTTTGATGGGCAGGTGAGAACATGAGTGAGTCCTCTCCCCACCCAGTGTGCCTAGGTTGGCTGGTGAGAGCATGAGTGAACTCTTCTTCCACACAGAGGATGCTGGGCAGGCTGGTGAGAGTGTTGGTGAGGCCTCTCTACACTTAGAGGAACCTGGCTGGGCTTCTGAGACCCCCAGTGACACAGTAGGACCTCAGCTTGGATGTTCACTATGGACAGGTAGGTGTGACAGATTGGAAAAGTCTGAAGCCACAGAACCAATATGAGCTAAAGGTTGGTTCATATCAATGTTACTAGGTAGGCAGTCCAAGAAGAATCCAGGACTTACTCAGTGAGCCTCACAGGAGGAATTCTGACTGGCCCCTTCCCTAAACTGTAGTACTCAGCAGCTGGGTGAATCAGTCACACAATAGAACCCTAAAACATGCAACAAACAGTTGAGACTAGTCAACTGTTGAAAAGACAGAAATATTAGCCAAGAGGTAAAAATACAAAATGAAAAACCAACTGTGATCTCCAACACCCAGCCCATCCAGGACAAGTACAGGAGACATTAACATAGAAGACATTGGAAAACAGACACCTGAAATTTTTGAAAAGGTAGCAA